GGGGAAAAAGAAAGACAAAAAGACAACGAAAAATGCAACAAAAATGGGACAAACATAATGCAGAGATTGTTGTGTCAACATTAACAAACTTAGGGACGGTCAGAGGCATGACATGTGGCTGGCCCTTCAGAACATTAAGATGGGAAGATTGCATCTTGCGGTGACTGTATCTGAAAGAACTGCAAAGGTATAATCTTTAGTCCAGCTTTAATGTTTTATTTAGTTCATAAGTTGTTGAAATAAATTAGAAATTGGAAATGTTGCTATGCTCGAAATTGCTTAATTCCTCGTGCAATTTTTATATGCAAATCTTTTTGTGAGTGCTCTTGAGCTATAAAATTATTGAGCGAGAGAAGACAAAGCGAGTGCCTAATTTGTATTAATAAAGTGACTGACTTTTGAAGATTTTGTTAATCGATAAAAACTCGATCAAATATCCTAATTTGTACCTTATAATGGAAAGAGGAGCGAGTGTTACAGAAAGCGTGCTAAGGATGTATGTCTGAAAGTGAAATTGAGGCTACGTTGTTGTGGACATGTTAATTGGAACAGAATTTGCAAAATTAGCTGTGAGTGTTTTAGTTTAGTTTAGCAACATGATTGATATTTCTTTTTTTATTTTATTTTTATATTTCTTCTAATCGTTTAATCGACCATGCAAACACACGTACATATGAACATCTTTTCATTTTTGACTTTCTAATGCTTTCTCAAATACTAGAACCCGGGAGGTCTGGACATGACATTGTGTTGTAGTTGATCTTTATGAGCTTCTTGGCCGAGAATCGAATTTTCTCATAATAAGCCTTATTTTCATCATTAAAGCAGGTGGGCCCAGTTTGGTTGTTCTGGGCTTGGTTGTACCTACTGACAGTAACTCCTCGTTCAAGTCGAGTGACAGTGTTGTCCAGACAGAAGCAAACAGTTCATCGACAGATAATGTGGGGGTTCCAACCGGTGCAAAATCACGTGATGATATGTATTTTATGCTTTGTTCATATATGAAAGATTATAAAGATGTGTGATGTGAATTAGGTGTTTCTGTTAGCTTGTACAAAGGGAGTTTTTTGGTCAAGAGTGTGTAAACACCAGAGTAAGTATAATTATGATTGTGTGTGTTACTACATTTTATTGCTCATTCTCATCATCATTTTCGCTATCATTCTCGTAGACGTTCGCTTCTCCATTGAAATCATCACAATCCCGACCATCATCGATGTCCTCATTTTCATTGTCATGCTCGAGTTGCTCATTCTCGTCCTCATTTCCGCTATCATTCTCGTGGATGTTCGCTTCTTTATTCAAATTATCATAATACCGACCATCATTAACTCTATTTAAAAAGTCTTCATACGATAAACTCTCCAAACGCAAAGTTCATCTCTGCCTGTCTATTTTTATAAACATTCTCATCCCAAAATTCGCTATGCACAATTCGAACTTTTTCACACATCTGTAAAATAAAGATGCAAAAGTATTTTACGGACAAACAATTCTAAATACTTATTTAAGAATAGCATAATCAATATTTATAATAAAACATATAAAATCACTCAAATGGTATATACGATTTGAAAACCCATTTTTGGGATTAGGCATGTCCAGCCTCTGGGCTGGTTGTCTCGGTTCCTAACCCAGAAAGACGATGTGGAGATGCCCCTACCTTGCTCAGAAGGACCAAGAAGGTTTTGTGATGTGAAAGGGCTGAGACTGGGTGTATCTATCATTTCTGGAATCCAATAAACCATGTCTAGGACCAGAAACGTGATTTTTGGGACTAGAAATCGATCCACAAATCGATTTCAGGGATTTCTGGACCTAGAAATTGATTTCTGGGATTTCTAGACCAGAAATCGATTTCTGGGTCCAGAAATCGATTTCTGAGTCCAGAAACCGATTTCTGGGTCCAGAAACGAGATGAACCACAAATTGATTTATTTCAGTTCCCAGAAATTGATTTCTGGGACCAGAAAGGTAATTTCTAGGGCCAGAAATCATTCAATGTTCTAAGAAATCAATTTTTTTTTTGCAATATTCATGTTATTAATTTGATTTCTAGGTCCAGAAACGAGATTATCTAGAAATTGATTTCTGGACCACAAATCGATTTCAGAGATTTTTGGACCTAGAAATTGATTTATGGACCAGAAATCGATTTCTGGGTCCATAAATTGATTTCTTAAGTCCAGAAACCAATTTCTGGGTCCAGAAACGAGATGACCCAGAAATTGATTTCTGAGATTATCCAGAAATCAATTTCTGTACCCAAAAAAAGATTTCTGTTCCGAGAAATCGATTTCTGAGATTATCCAAAAATCAATTTCTGTACCCAAAAACGATTTATGTTCCCAGAAATCGATTTCTGGCCCTGAAATCGATTTCTAGAACCAGAAACCATTAAATGTTCTAAGAAATCAAAATTTCATTTTGCAATATTCATGTTTCTAGTTTGATTTCTGGTCAGAAATCAATTTCTGACTCAAGAAATCCCTTTCTGGACAAGAAATCGATTTCTAGATAATCTCGTTTTGGGCCCAGAAATTGATTTCTAGACCCAAAAATCAATTTCTGGTCGAGAAATCACTCAATGTTCCAAGAAATCATTTTTATTGGCACAATTCATGTTATTAATTTGAAAAGTATATATGTGACCCATTGAATAAAAATAAATTGTAACCATACCTTTACTCTAATACTTCCGAGATATCACTGGAATGTTGCCGGATTTTAAAAATACAGAGAGAATGATTTTTTTTTGTTAAGAGAATGATTTTTTTTAGATGAGTATAAAATTGATGAAT